TACGGGACGTGGCGGGACCGGAGGCGGACCCAGACCGGTGGGACTCTTGCCCCCGCCCGCCGCACTGGCGAGTGGGGCTCGGTGGACGTGCCGACACCCTCTGCCGTCCCATTGTCGTTGCCTGCTCTCCCCCGGGGGCGGGGGGCGCACCGGTCCTTCCCCGCAGCCCCGGCAGCCTCGACTGCGGCCGGCTGTGACCCGTCGGGGGCGGGCGAAGGAGGTGCCGTCTCGGGAGACGGTTGAGGCAGAGGCGCCTCGGTGTGGCTTTTGGGCCGCCTGCTTCGGCTTCACCTGGGCATGGATGACCCGCGTCGGTGTCCCCTCCGCGACCCCAGGAGATGAGATTCCGGAGCCGGCGCCCCGGATCCCGCACGTCTGATAAGCGCCCCAGGGGCTACCGAGGGACCCCGAAGTTTGGAAATCGCTGGGTGTCGGAGGCTTTTTAGACAAACGCGGGACTGCAGTGCTACTCACGATCTATTTAAAAATGACCCAGATAATCGCAGTGTGACTTTAGGCCTGGTGACCCCCTTGGGCGTGTGCAGACTTCGGGACGCGCCTGATCTTGGGCAGAGAGGAAGCTTGCTGATTGAGAGTCTTTGCAAGTCGGGCCCTTTGGAGTGAGTGTTAGGATCTTTAAGCACTTGTGAAAATGGTGTTTCTCAGAATTCACAACTCCTCCTAATTGTCCTCGTTTTTTGCAGACATGCGGGACACTGGATTTCCGGGTCAGCCCCTCATGCGTGCTTTGTCTAGTGGTGGGAAAAGAGGAATTCTTTGCTTACATTAGAAAGGATTCTATAATGCTATGGCAAATCTGTAAATAATCTTGATGTGACGATTGCTTTTAACTCCTCATGCATATGTGGGTACTGTGGATTTGTTTTCATTACAGAGTACTGTGTCCCTAACTTACGTTCTTGGACTTTGTATCCAGTAAATATGTCAGCGGTTTATATTTCTGTGTTATTCCTCTAAGCTGGAGGAATATCATTTACCATCATCTCCACTATCATTATTGTCAGTTTATTACTTCTAAATTCATTTTCACATTATTCAGTGAATATTTGAGTTTAGCACCGTGTTAATGATCTTTTACTTTCTGAGAAAGGAAAGGGGAGGAGATAAGCACCTCGTCTTGAAAGTTGAAGCTTCAGGTGGAATTTATTGATAAAATGTAAAAATCATCATCCTATGAAATTAACAGTTTTTTTTTTAATCAGAGTGTCACTCGATCACCCAGGCTGAAGTGCAGTGGCATGCTCACAGCCACCACCGCAGCCTCGACCTGCTTGAGCTCAGGGGATCCTTTGGCGTCAGCCTTCCAAGTAACTGCAACCACAGGCACACACCATGACGCCCAGCTAATTTTTGGATTTATTGTAGAGTCGAGGACTTGCCAAGTTGCCCAGGCTGGTCTCAAATCCCTGGGCTCAGGCAATCCTCTCGCCTCTGCCTGCCAAAATGCTGGGGTTTCAGGTGTGAGGCACTGCACCTGGCAAAATTAAGTTTTTGGTTATGCTCTAGGGTAGTCTAGCTTCATAGGATAAAAACTTTTCATATGTTTGGTTTACTCTGTAAAATGATTTTAGAATGCTTCATGGGGTAGTTTACATAGTTAAGGATGAAGATTTCACCCCCTGACTAGAATTGAAATGTTTGTCTATCATTGTTAATCTTTATCATGGTACATTTTTTATTGCTGAATAAAAGTGTGCTACCAGTTGGGGTTACCAATGTGAGATGAATTAGTGTTCATGTTTGCCTGTCTCCTTTGGTTGAACACAGTTATCAAAATTGCTGGGATATTGCAGTGGACAGTAGTATTTCTTAGAAATTCTGTTTGTAGAATAAACGTACAACATAGAGATGCCAAAATTGTCACTTTCTTTAGGAAGGCTCTTAGGAAGAAAATCTTGTTCAAATAAGTCACCTTTTTAAAAGTGTTAAGTTAAATGGTTGAGAGGCTCTGTTATACAAAACTGAGCTAGTTAATCCTTAAGGGATTTTGTTACCTGTAAAGGGATTTTGTTACCTGTAAATTTGGAGTTGGACATGATTGCTATAAAATTCTGAAAGGAGCCCTTGCTCTAAGTCATAGAATTATTTTACTAATGCTACTTAGTTGCTTATTTGGAATATTGGTGCTCAGTCATTGAAACTGTTTTTGATAAGTAGAATACAGTGGAGCATGATATAGCCCTACTGGCTAAGCAGTTGTATATCTCATGAATATTAATAGCTGTTTTATTGGAGTTATTCTGGATATTCATAGACTCTTTTGAGAAAGCAACTACCTACATGACAGGAGGCTGCTGGGACACAGAAACAGTTCTGTGGTCCTGTCACTTTATTCTGCTTGTAGTTTGAAACAGCCACCAGGCACAGATTTCAAGACTGTGCCACTGAATGATCTTTCAAACCTCAGACCTCTATTTGACACATCATTTTTCTAGAGGCCTTATTTCAAGCTCCATTCAAAGCTCCATTAGGAAGTTTTTTGATTTTAAAGATATTCAAGCTCTGAGTTAGAATTTGACTTGGATGGAATGTTAAAGCTTCTTAATTATTTTATTTTGCATGTCAGGAGATTGAACCTCCTGTGAATTACCATGGAGTAGAACCAGGACTTGAATATAGATCTGGCCCCTATGATCAATAACCACAATGAGCACAGATAACATTTATTTTTCTCTAGTGCTGAGTTGATAATAGTTTAGCCCTTTTTCCCCCTTGGGTTACATTAAGACAAATGTAAGCTTGTTCAAAACTGAAGTCATTTTGTGAGCCTGCAAGATAGTTTCACGTTTGTCTTTGCTTCCATCTGTCACAGGAACCTGTGGGAAGAAGGCTGTGGATTTCTCTGGTGTGCTGAGTAGGTGCTTGGTTGCGTAGGCCCAGGCTTCAACTTCTTAGTAAACTCCTTATGTGAAAGGGGCTCTTTAGTTCACAGATAACTTTTCTCAAAACAGGTCCAGTAAAATGTGCTCTTTTATTATATATGAAAAGTTATCATATTATTTGCTAGAGAATCCAAAACTTTCTACCATCGTTTGCTGTTCAACTATGCTTTTAGGAATTATGTGTGGTTAATGCTTTTTGTCATTTAGATGCTGACATTGGTAACCAGGCACATTTGTTACGCTATGTAATGTGGTCACTTCATTTTTTTTTCCTTTTGATGAGTCTAATTTAACTTAGTTTTCAATCCATTCTTATGAAAGAAGTGCAGAATGAATTGTGAAGTGAAGGGTGGGTGCTGGTTGAAGTGTTTTCCTTTTATTTTTTATTTTATTTTTTTATTTTTAGATTTTTTTAATAATCAATATTTTTTATTATGATATTGTGGGGTACAGTGTATTTTCCTTTTAAAGAAGGAAATTGTGTTCATTCATATTCATTCATTCGTTTTTGCACTCTTTCTCCTCCTCCCTCCTCCTCCTTCACTCCCACCCACCCCCACTACAACCTATGAATCTTGGCAGCGTTGTAGCTGAAGAATTTTCTTTCTCACAGTGACCTTTGGCTTGATACTGCTTTGGTTGCTGCCTGCATCTCATCTTTCAATCTGTCCCCACTATTGGGGACATAGGACTGCAAGATTAAGCAGGTGTGGGCCATAAGGCTGGAGAAGGAAATGGGAGCCAGAATATGAAGAGTTTTATATGCTGTTGCAATCACAGTTACAGTGGCTGTCTATTTTATAGGCAAACCTGCAGCTTCCAACTTACTGGTTACTTTATGAAGACTTACATTTTACTATTAGTAATAGGAGTTAATGTTTGAGTACTGATTGTGTGCCAGGTAATATACTTTGTGCTTTACAGGAATTATCTAATTTAACTCTTCTACTTTGAGGGAGGATCTGTTTGACCTGTTTTAGAGATGGAGAAATTGAGGTTCAGGAATTTAAGTAACATGCCTAATAATAGTAAGTGGAAGAGCTAGGATTCTAGCTAGGTGGGTCCACCTTCAAAGTCCCAGTTCTTTTTTTGTACTGTACTGCTCTGAGGCAAGCAGGAGTTGAATCAGATCCTATCAGTTTCTCTTTACGCTGTCACTTTTGCTTAACATTGTACCTGGTTACATAATAGGCACTTGGTAAATGCTGAATAAATGAATGAGTGACTCTTTACTTTTATTGATTATAATATTTGTGCATATTTGTGGGCTATGTGTGATATTTTGTTACATGCATAGAATGTGTAACAGTCAACATCAAGTGAGGGTATTTAGGGTATCTGTCACCTTGAGTATTTATCATTTGTATGTGTTGGGAACATTTCAGTTCCTCTCTTCTAGCTACTTTGAAATGCACAATACATTGTTAACTATAGTCACCTTGCTCTGCTATTGACCACTAGAACTTATTTCTTCTATAATATCTAACCATATGTTTGTACCCATATCCAGCCTCTCTTCATCCTTCCCTTGCGACCCCTTTATTCATCTCTGGTATCTAGAATGAATCTTAACCAGCATCAGAGAAGTCATTCTTTGGATACGCTAATCTGAACTAATTTTTTAAAAAATAAAGACAATTTTATAAAAGTTGTATAATTTATGATAGGTTCTTTGCAAGCCTGTCTGTACTACTTTTGAGGCCTGAGACAAGAATATAAATGGAGGTTTGTAAAGCATAGTCTGAATTAGA